ACTCACGGGAAGGGGGTAGAGAAAGTTGGTATTCCCGGGAGTAGAGTTCTAGAAACGTTGAAGAGAAAGGAAATTTCCAGACTATCTGGTCCAACCCTTTCACTGGCAAGCAGGCCTGAGAGGAAGTCTACACTGCCCATGAGGTTTCCAAGCCCCGGTCCACTTCACCTGCTCACTTAGGGACCAGTCTTCCCCTTTGGGACAGTGGCCTCTCCTCTCCCCTCATAGCTCATGGGGCCACTTCACACTCACTCCCGGTCCTGGATCCCTGGAGACAGGCCAGAATGGGGTGGGCCCACGTGGCCTGCTCCCAGAGAACAGGTCTGCCCCACCTGGCCTCCCTGGTCCCTCCTCCCCATACAAGCCCCTTAGGGACCAGAGAGAGAGAGCAGTTGTGAAGCTCTCCTCAGGGTAACAGACCACAGGGAAGGCAAGCCCAGGATGGGCCTGCAAGGCTGCTGGGGGACAGCAGTGGCGGAGTTATCGGCACCTCTGATCACAGAGGGCTTTCAGTTTGAACACTTAGGACAGAGACACAGCACTCTTCCAGGAAAATGTACACACATGTCTAGTAACTTTCTCTGTGTGTTAGGCTCCACCCACGGACACTCACCCGGTGTCCCCAACACAAACAGCAAGGCCTTGTTCATTTCCGCTGAGGCCAGACCCTAGAGGCCCATGAAAAACGAGGTGAGAGGCAACTATCCTAAATGGTGTGCACACTGCTCCAGAGACTGATCATTTATTTCTTTTAAGACCCATTAAAATGTTGAAACACTGTGACCCCATGCCACCCTAGGGAATTATTCCATAGAAATAGTAACAAAACAAAGACAAACAAAACAAAACGTTCTACACACAAATGTTTCTGGCAGCATAATTTGTAACAGCCATGGAGCAGACTCCTCTGACTCTTCTGGCGGAGTCCCCTCGAGAAGCCTGCGAGCACCCTTCCAGGGGATGGCCAAGATGAGGGGGGACAGCTCAGGACGGTGCAATCAGAACACCTGGAAATTTCACTGCAGGTAAAGTACACGATCAGGATGGAACATGGATACTGGAAACAGATGCACTATGGAGGGACATTTTTGTTTAGTGGTTGTTCAACAGTTTAATTTATGACACCTGATGGCTGGCTTAACAGCAAATGAAACTTCTTTTAAACAAAACTTTTCAAGAGCCTAGGAGCATCTTCCCTCCCAGGCGGAGGGCACTGTCCTCCAGCTGTTCCCCGGAAGGGCAACTCTGGCCTCACTCCAGGGCAGAGAACAGACACAGGACAATAAAAGCTCCCTCCCCTTCTACCCGGCCAGCTCTGCCACCACCCTGCCATCCCACCCTAGGCCTGTGGTCCTTCTGATGCACCGGGTGAACACAACACCAGAACTGACCACGTGCTGGACTGGGCCATGTCACATGTACAAAGTCTCCCAAGAAACTCCTAGCAAACACCTCCTCAGAGTTTCAGGTAAAGGGGTGGGAGCTCCTGCGCCCTCCAGGCCTTGCTGCCCTGCCCCCAACCCAGAGTGCAGGCCATAATGAGTGAGGTAACGGCTCCTTCTCAGTAAGAACACCCTCCTCTCACTGCCTCTCAGGACCACCCTTCGATATAAGGTGGAGGTGGTTACTGAATGTTTCCAGATGTGGGAAATAGTCCAGACAGATTCGTGGATGTGCCCAGGGTATCTGAGTGAGGGAAGAGCCAGAGCTGGAATCCAAACCCAAGTCTCTCTGGCCTTGAGGTGGACCCCGCCCCGGCTCCCCTCACCAGGACCTGTGAAATCTGATTTTCTAAATTTTCTACAATTGAAAAAAATCTACAAGCACTTTAAATATCAATTTAAATTTAAAAAGAGGAGTGTGGTAAAGGTTTATGGCAGCTGAGCTGAATCCCAGAGGGCCCACAAGATGAGAAATGAACTGGCTGCACTAGCTGTCGGGGCCCCCAGGTGGTGCTGGAAACAGGAGCCTGCACAGTCCACTGCCCCCCACCCTCCTGGCCCCCCCCGCCTATCCCCAGACCACTCTGGGGAGGTGGATGGTGTCAATCTCAGTGGGCTGCCCTGGGCTGCAAACTGCCGGCCCCGCCGCAGCCTGCCCAAGAGGAGCCCCACTCTGCACCACATAGCTGCCGGCAGCCCTGATGCCCACCCTCCCGCCCCAGCCAAGAGGGCACGTGGGACAAAGGCCACAGCACTAAGAGTGAAGGTGCTGCAGCAGAAAAGGGCCTGGCCTGCCTGGGAGCTCACAGGCAGAGGACAGGAACGGCTCCGTTTCCTCATCTGCGACATGATGGCTGTTCTCCACGCTAACTGCACATCAGACGGATGGGGAGGGGTCCCAGTGGCACTCCCCTCCCTCTCAGCCGGGAGAGCTTAGAAGAGTCACTTCACCTGCGTGTACTGTGGTTTCCTCACCTCACGGTGGAACACACCTACCCCCAGAACAGGTTTAATGAGAAGGGCTTATGAAGCCCTGGAAAACATGACTGTGATTCAAGATGAAGACTTTTTTCCATGTAGAAAGGCCCCAGCAGTGCTCCTACCCTCCAACTACATGAAGGGAAGCACCTGGCCTGGTCACATAGAGTTGGCTTCCCATGACACCACCTTCCTTAAACCATTTCTCTCTTGGTTTCTTCTTCCGCATTCCTGGGCCTAGTCCCGAGCTACAGGGTCAGGAAAAATAGGGTGGCTAACAGGTCTCTGTTCTGCTGCCTCAGCACAAGGCATGGAGCCACAGTCTATCCCCACCACCCTGTGCATGGCTGGGACAACCCCGGCCTGGAGTGGGAAGGAGTGAGGTAACTCAGGAGGTGTGGGTGGGAGCTGTTCTGGTCATCACCACCACAGTGGAGCAATGTCTTCCGAATCAAGCTGACATCATGGGTCTGCAAGCACACCCTGGTGCACAGCCACCATCCTGGGGATCCACCAGGTAGACGAGAGAAGGCCTGGCATTTGTCAGCGTAAAGGGTTCAGGCACTGGGCCAGGGCTGGGCTGGGCCCTTTCCCCACTTGGAGTTGGAGAACCGGTTTTGAATCCTGAAGACGACAGGTTAGTGGCCTAGTTCCTTCTGTGGTACAAGACGCTCACCCAGGAGGAGCCACTGTCCCTGAATGGTGACTGCTCCAGCTGGGTACAGACCTCTCAATCCCAAGCTGAGGGGAGGTGGCAGCCTTGGGGGCTGAGGGTGTGGGGCTTGCTTGTTCAGGGTCCAACATGTTTGGTCCCTGAGCTGCTATGAGCAAAGGAACAGGCGGGTCAGCACAGGGCCTCAGAGAGGGTCTCGTGCATCACCACGAGTGACCTGTTAAGACCGAGCAGGTGAGCGGGGTCTCTTTTATCCAGAGATCACTGATAAGAATGTGGAACTGCACCTCCCTTTCGCCTTCTTTTCACATGGTTTCTATTATGAAATATCTCAGGCCACAGAAAAGTCCAGAGAGTAACACATGTACTTGCCTCCACCAGAGCCAACGTAAGCAACATTTTGCCATTTTTGAGGCAGATTTATTCACCCTCCCCACCCCTTCTTTTTTCCCCCCAAAAAATCACATCCTGTAGCTGGTTAAAGCCCTTCCCTTAACCCTGGTCCTCCATGCACACGTTTACACTTGTGCAACTTCTGCTTCCCTGCCCCTGGCATCTTAGCGGTCTGATTCCCCCGAGAGAACATCAGCTCCAGGAGGGCAGGGACTGGGCTTGTCACTGCTGCCTCTCCGGGGCCTAGGATGATGCCCTGTGTAAGTCAGACAACCCACCTGTTGTTGGCCGAACAACACATATTGTTATGTGTGATTCTAAATTGGATATAAACGTCTCTGCCCCAAATGTCTCAATTCTGAAGCCGGCTTTTTCCTCCACTCAACACCATGTTTGAGATTCAACATTCAAGTCTTCTGCTGTATGACCCACCCACTTGCTAACCAGTGACCCTTCTCTTTCTCAGAGAGAAAAAGGATCAGAGAAGGGACCTTCCAGCAAAGCCAAGACAGTCAGAAACTGGAACTCAAGTTTCCAGCCAGCAATTGAAAACCTAAGAAACCAGAATAAAACTGAAGGGTCTCTCAGAGGTTACCACACAATGGGAGAAACTGCAGGCACCCACCGTCAAGCCCCCAAGTCTGTGCTCACTTGCCAAAAAGGCAACAACCTGGTCATCGTCTCTGTCATCAGCAAGGGCCATGTGAGGTGCTGGGGGGCTAACAAGAAACCACAGAAGCCAGCGTGAGGGTGACAAGGGTCCCTGCACCACCACTGAGCATCACCAGCCTCTCAGCACAGAGCTGTTACTGTCTCTGCTAACAAGGGAGGTGCCAAGGACCCTGCAGGGCTGCTGTGAGGACAGTGTGAACGCACTGTGGAAACTGTCAAATCACACATGCGTGTATACACACGCACCCCTGTGGACTTGAAAAAGCCCCGTCTCATCTGAGATCAGCTCCTGAATCTGAGTAAGAAGGCAGAGATGAGGGGCCTGCACCCGGGGAGGGTTCCACTCACACTGGTGAAGGCAACAGCAGGCTGTGGCATCAGAAAGGCCTGCTCCCGAGTGCTGGCCCCACTTCCTCTGGGGAGCACCCCTCTTTTCCTGCTGCACCCCCTCCAAGCACAGCCCCCGAGATAAGCTTTCTCAGGGAATCAAGATCTACTCCCGCAGGTGAGCAGGTGCCCAGGCTGATGGTCCAGGCAAGCTTTACACACCAGGGAGAGTCTGGACCTGATTCTGCAGGTGCTGTAGAAACCATGTCATGCAAGGTGTTTAAGGAGAAGAGTGAGGAGACATAATGTGAGGGTCTGGAGGAAAAGGCTGGTGGCTAAGAATCAGAAAGCCAATTGGGGAAGCAGTGAATGTTGAGACTGTCATGTCTGAACAAGGGAGCCGCGGGATGGAGAGGAACGAACTGGGTAGAGACTGAATGCAGAGTTGGGAGGATGTGGAAACCACCAGGTACTGGGGGAGAGCACAGGGCAGAGAGCAGCGCCAGGGGCGTTACCTGTGCTTCTCGCCTTCCTCCTCCCCTTCTCTGAGCTGCTTGGTCTTTGGCTCCCCATCTTCCTTGTCCTGTAAAGGAAGGGAGAAAACCACGTGCTCAGATGGACACTCCTTCCAGCCCACAATGCCCAGGCAGCTAACGGAGAACAGGATTCTCAGGAGCCAGACAGCCTGGCAGGGACCAGCTTAGCATTCCAGCCTCCAAGTCACGCTCATCTCAGCCTCAACAGAGTATGCTTGCTCTGCAGGTGCGCTGAGGGCCACAGCAGCAGGAAACGCCTTCTGGGGCTTTCTCCCTTACTATATGACCACTGCTGTTGGGCCACCTACCTATGGACAAACGGATATGGAGGGCGTGCGTGTGCGCTCTTGAATGTGTGTGGCCACGCCTTCAGTGCCTGTCCTGAGAGGCTCTGGGACAGAATCCTGTCCAGGGTCTCCCTGCGTGCCAGGGCTGGCCCTCCAGAGGGTATCAATGTGCCCTTGATTACTGGCCGAGACTGGCCTCTGACTCTCACCGGAGCGTGTTCTGAGGGGACATCTGGAAGCCCCGGCCATAGGGAACCTGCTGCGATGGAGATAAGAATGTACTGTACACATTGTAAGTAAAACTGCTGCTTGTACCACCCCTCCTAGAAGTTTGTTTACGCCACTGACAACCGCCTCCCCGAGAGTGGCATTCACTTTATGAGTCATTTCCTGCCAGTGTTCATCGTGGAGACCCTGGGAACCATCAGACCGTGCCATTCCTTGGCGACACACCTATGGGGCAAGCAGACTACCCAAACTGGGCTGGAGGCCTGGCCCAGAGAAAGGCTTCCGTGAAGTGAACAGAGAATGATACCCCCTCATTCTCTCAACCCAGGGCAGCCCGGTCTCCTGGGGACGAGGCAGCAGGAACGGATGACAGCAGCGACATGAAAGGCCGACATGGGTCTGTGGGGTGGGTGGGGCCTTCCCACCTTCCTAGTGAGGGATGGGCGGAATCTGGGTGTTACAGGATGGGGAGACAGCAGTGGGAAGGGCATTCCCAGAGGGGAACAAGCTTGAGCAAAGGCAGGGTGTGGTCTGAAGAACATGCAGGTGGTTTGGAGGCACAGGTGAATTCAGTAAGGTTGCCAAGGCAGGTGGGGCTGATTACAGAGGGCTCTGGCCAGTGTTCTTAGGCAGCAGGAGCCAGAGGGGCCTGGGGGAACTGCCAGAGGAAGGACCAGAGGCCCTTCCTAAGAGCCTGCCAACCATGCTGGGCAGGGAGGCCCCAGGGCAGAAGCATTTGTTTGGTGATGGCCAAAGAGGGAAGGGAGAGCAGAGTACAAACTCTCAGCTGAGAAACAGGGTTATCTACATGGTCCCAGGCTGCATGCACCCCTTCCTGACTAAATGCTAGTGATTAAGTAAGCCAGAAGCCAGGACAGTCAAATAAAAAGCTCCTTCCTAATTGCCAGCCAGTGGACTCCCTGATGGCCAGAGGTCCTGCAGCAGGGGAAGGAGGTGGCAGGTGCCTCCCCTTGGTGAGCAAGGACAGAGGTGGAAGAGCAGAAAAGGCTCAGCTTTCCCCCAAACCGGGCTGGTGGGTAAGCCCACAAAAAGGCTTCTTTCCACGGGGACGCTGTTAACCTGGATCAGCTGGGAGTAGAGGGTGAGGACTGTGGGAACACATGCTTTAGAGCGAGTCCTTTGCCAACACCATGCTCTTCCCAGCCCCTGAGCACGGACACACTCAGCGGCAGGGCTGCCACCACCCTCCTGGGGTCCTGGGAGACACTCAAGTGTCTGAGCAAAGGCCATGTTATTCATTAATAAATGAGAAAACACTCAACGATCTAAACGACATTAAAAAAAACGCCCCGCAGTCTGGTGGGTGGGGAGCAGCATCAGCTGTGCAGATGGCTGAGGTTAAGGAAGACCCCAGCCTGGGATGCTGTGCAAGAGCAGGGGCTCAAGAACGGCACCGAAACACGCATGGGGCGGGAGCAGGTGAACAAGTTACAGGCCACGTGAGTGCAGGGATGGGGGGCGCTCCAGTCTGCCCGGTCCATGGCGACTCAGCACAGTGAGCATCCATGAGAAGGGAAGTGGTTTTGGGGTGACCCTGGCCTAGGTCACAGGGCAACGATGGTAGCAAGAGGTATTGATCAGTCTCATGGCTGGCCCAGCCCAGCCTGAGAGACTCCAAGACCCTCAGAACTGAAGGGCTCGCAGGACCACTGTCTTCCAGGTCCTCAATTCAACCCCCAGGGGAAGCTGGCAAATGGCTGTCATGGAAAGGAAAGATTTGCCCAAGGTCACAAAACCTATCAGCAGTAGGATCAAGGTCTTCCTGACCCTGGCCCTGCATTCTTGCCAAAGAGATGGGAGACAGCATATCAAGAGAGGCACTTAGTTTCTAAAAACAGCTCTGATCCCAGCCACCTCTCCCATGTTATCCCATGGTTCAGACCTGGCCGCGCGCACTCAGACCGGCCACAGCCAGCCCGCCTAGGTCTAAGTCCTGGCAGACACCCAAGGGAGCGCTGGCAGGGCCCGAGGTGCACAGCACCGCAGGGAATCTAGAGACACCTCACCTGCCCCCCTACCCTTAAATACA